CACCACGTCGCTGCCGTCGTCGCCGCCGCTCGCACCCGCGCCGCCGCCGCGCGGCGCGGGGAGCGCGAACGTGCCACGGGCCTCTGGAGGTCCCCAGTCTCCAGAGGCCCTGGAGGTCTCCGTGCCCACATCCGGGCCCTCGCGGCCTGGACCTCCTCCTCCCCCTCCTCCTCCTCCTCCTCCCCCTCCTCCTCCTCCTCCTCCTCCTCCTCCTCCTCCTCCCTCCTCCTCCTCCTCCTCCTCCTCCTCCTCCTCCTCCTCCCCTCCTCCTCCTCCTCCTCCTCCTCCTCCTCCTCCTCCTCCTCCTCCTCCTCCTCCTCCTCCGCGCGACAGGTCAGGTAAGCCTCGCACCAGTCGGCGCGTGAGCAGAGAGAACTGAGAAGAGCGTGCAGCCAACGTGCCTTTGGCAGGGCCGCCAGATCTGCACTGCGCGCTCCCGCTCGCGAGCTGCACCGCCGCCTTGGCGGAAGCAGTCAGCGAGTCGCGCATGGGAGCCAGCAACTGCCAGCGCATTCTTCCACGCAAGGTGCCCCCCAGGCTTGGCGAGGCCCACCTCGCCTCCGCGCGGAGCAGCTTCGAAACCACACCCCGTGTCTGTTGGGTCGCAGCCCCGGGGGCGCGGCCGGCGAAGCCTCAGCAGACCTCGAGAACGTGGGCTCGCGCCCTCGAGGGCTGTGGAGGTACGGCCATCTTGCCGTCGTGCTACCATCAGGTCGGGCGTGTCCTCCTACAGGCGGGCTTTGGGCGAAAACTTTACAATACCTAGGGGGAACAAGCAAAAATGCTCATCAAAAATGTTCAAAATAGTCGAAAGTCGTCCCCAGACGGATCTTTCAATGATATACTTCAGTATACCCCCTGTAGAGGGACATGCCCGACTTAATGCTACCATGAGGAACGCTGAGCACGAAGTGGGCCCCCTGTGTTGGCCCCACGAGGAGCGCTGGAGCGCTGGAGGAACAACCGTGGGAGGGAGGACCCAAGGAACAGCGAGCCCCTTCCGAGTGCGAACCGTTCCCCGTGTCACAGCGCCTGTATCCGGAAGGCCTATGAGGGTCCCTGCAGGCCTGCCGGGGCCGCTGCAGGCAGCCACGCAGGAAGAGGCCCTACGGTCGGGAAATTCTGCTGCGGTGGCCCCGGCGACACGCTGGGCCCAGCGAGCGGAGAGCCTGTCGGTCCGCTCCGCGGGGCGGGAGACTGGGAACGGCTCGGGACGTTGACAGCTGGGAGCTGAGGCGTGGAAAGCGTGTCGCACCGAAGCGTGATAGGCCAGAACCGGCGGTGCGAAACCTCGTGGACGGCGGCGGAGAAGGCGAAGGCATCCGAGGACGACACCCGCCGCCGCCGAATGCGCCGACGGCGCCGCTTCCGACGAGGGCGACGACGACGGCGGCACCGACGACGAAGGCGCCGACGAGGCCGCGGCGGCGGCAGGACGAGGAGGAGGCGTCGGCCCGGGGCCCCCTTTTGAGCCTTGTGAGGCTCATTGGCAGGGGCGGCACCGGGGCAGCCGCCGCGGCCTGGGCGAGGGGTGCGGCGCTACTCTCGGCTCCTCCTCCTCCTCCTCGTCCTCCTCATCCTCCTCCTCCTCCCTCCTCCTCCTCCTCCTCCCTCCTCCTCCTCCTCCTCCCTCCTCCCTCCTCCTCCTCCCTCCTCCTCCTCCTCCTCCTCCTCCTCCTCCTCCTCCTCCTCCTCCTCCTCCTCCTCCTCCTCCTGCCGCACCCACGCGGCATTCTCTTGCCCCCTTCGGAGGAGGGGCCCGGCGAGGCAGCGGCGGCCCTCCCTGGAAGGGAAGTGGCCGTCTCTCTCTGCGGGAGCCTCCCCGGTGGCGTCTCTCGCCGCTGGATCGGCTGGGTCGGCTGCGGAGCACGGGCAGGGCTCCGGGGGCAGGGCTTGGGCGGGCCTGTGGAGGCAGAGCTCTGCGAGGAGGCCGTCTCGGGACCGTCGACGCCTGGGACGGGGCCGAGGGCCCTGGGGACCTCGTGGTGGCAAGTGCGCGACATGAGAATGAACGGGGGCTGCCTGCCCCTTGGAAATCAAAGGAGTCAGGCTGCCTGCTGCCTGGTCCCCGATGGGCAGAGCTCTGCGTGGAGGCAGAGCAAGCGGCATGAGCATCGACTCTTGACGCTCTGCGCGGGTTCCTTGGATCTGCGCCAGGGGCGGCGCCGGAGGCGCCGCCTGGGAGGGCCTCGGCGCGGAGCCAAGGAATCCGCGCGGAGCGCCAGAAATTTACGGTGGCCAGTCCACGAGAAACCTTCTACAAGAAACCCAACCCTGAGACCCCAGGACGTCCAGTGATTTTTGCTGGGGACATCACGTTTTCCGTCGCAAAGCCATCGAAACCAGAGAAACCCAGGGCACCCTGGAGGCAAGCAGGGTGTTTCTTGGCATGAGCCTCCACTGCATGTTGATGGCGTTTTTTCTTCCCCGAACTTCGGCCAGGCGGGAGCCGCCGTGGTATCAACTGGCCCTCCTCCGAGCCTCCCTCTCCTCCGCCCTCCCCCTCCTCCGCCCTCCTCCTCCTCCGCCCTCTTCCTCCTCCTCCGCCCTCCCCCTCCTCCTCCGCCCTGCTCCTCCACCACGCTCTCCACCTCAGGGGCGGGCACGCACGCACGCACGCAGGCTAGCCACGGGAGCCAGGGCGAGTGAGGGGCGTCGCGCAGCGCGCGGCGCCAGACCCAAGACGCCCAACGCCCCATGGATCGGCACTCCCGAGATACGTACGGAAAGAAAGGGGGACGACGCCTAGCAGCCACTGTTGTCCAGAAACCGACGGCGCCCGCTGTTGGACAGGCGGCCCTTGGTCCCGAACGGACAGCGTCTGCGGCGGCACCGACAGCGAAACCTGGTCAAACCAAGCACGAACTTCTGTCGGTCTGGGTCCCCGCTCTTGCCGTCCCCGTGCCAGTCGTGCCGAGATGAGGTCACCGAGCTGGTGCTGCGGCCGACGCTGGGGGCCCGAGAAGCTTGACCACGTGTCGAAAGGATCCCCGCCGTTGCGAATCTGCTTTGCATACTAGGGTCCTCCATCCAGGGACCCATCCTGGGAGGCACCGCCAAGAGGCACTGCAGAGGGATTCGGATGCCATTATACCATAATGTGTCACAGGGTGTCTCTTCATCGCAAGCCTCCAGAGAGGCTCCCCGAGAGGACCAATGTGCCACTGCACTCCAATATTTCACAGGCTCTTCCCATATCTCGGTGCACTCCCCCTCACAGGGACCACTATGCCATGGAATCATAGTATTGCACAGGTGTCGTACTCGTCCCATACCTCTAGGCAGGCCCCCAAGAGTGGCCAGTGCATCATTCTACCATAGTCTTTCTCAGGATTCGTGCTCACACAACTCCTTCAAACAAGCTCCAGGGGACGGTTTCTCCAGATCAGCTTGGAGGTCATTCAAGACCCATCCAGACATCCCAAAATCGATATCTCCGGTTATTATCCTCCCAGGACCCCGAACTTTCTTATCCTCAGGGTGCGATTCTCACCAGCATAGGGTTACTCGGCCGTAGGGGGGAAGCGAGATCATGGTCCCCGCAGTGTCTGCAGGCCCCCCACCCCTTTCACCCTCGATGGGCCGTAGAGGGGGGGCGACCGAAGCGGCTGCAGGTCCCCCCTAACAGGCGGAGTGGAGGCCTCAGAGCGGCCAGAGCCTCGATGAGGGAAGGAGGAAGAGACCAGAGGAGAAGGTCCCCCCTGCCACCCCCAGTCGGCCGTAGGCGGGAGGTCTCGAGGGCGCCCCTGGGCCATCTCTCGGGGTGGTCCTGGGATCGCCTCTTGGGAGCTCCGCATGAACGACGGGAGTCTCGTCCTGGGACCGCCCTTTGAAGCTCCGTGGGAACTGTCGACCCTGGGGCAGCTCGGAATGGCCCAGGGACCGCTCTCGGGAGCTCTGCGGGGGACGGCCTGAGTCTCCTGGCAGGCTCTGGGGCAGCGCGGAGTGGCCTGGGGCCTTCTCCTTGGAGGCCCGGGGCTCGAGGCGCTCGGGGGTCTCGGGGGCGTTAAGGGGTCCGAGCGACGGCGAGAGGGTGCCGCGGCTCGGGGCACTCTCCTTGGGAGCTCCTTGGGAACCGCCGTTAGGCCTAGGCCGGGCATGTCCCTCTGCAGGAGGGAAACTCAAACAATAGTCCAAATGATGTGGGGACGACTTTTTCCCTATTTTGGGATTTGATGTTGGATTGTTTGGAATGTTTTGTGATTTTCCTCCAACATCCGCATGTAGGAGGACATGCCCGGCCTAAAACCATCGGTGTCTCGTGGGAGGCTCTGGGGCAATGTGGGAGTGGTCCTTGGAGGTTCTTGGCCCATTGGGGGCTGCGGGAAGGGCGTCGTCTGGGCTCCCTTCGGCCCCTCTTCGAGCCCTCGTGGGGGTCTCTCTGGAGCATCTAAGGGTCCTCTTGGCCCACTTCGGACTTCTTGGGCCGTCTCGGGGGCCTCTTGGGCCGTCCTGGGGCCATGTAGGGGGTCTCGGGCCATCTTGGAGCTTGCTTTGATGCCTGTGCAGCTTCTAGCGCCCTCTTGGGGCTGTCTTAAGGCCCTCCAGGGGCTCTATGAGGCTGTCTTGGGCTTCTCGTGGGCATTCTTCGGGCCCTCTGGGGCCGTCTTGGGGCACTCGGCGGGGCCTCCTGAATCGTCTTGTGGCGATCTGGGATGGTCCTGGAGCCGTCTGGAACCGTTTTTGGCCCGAAATGGCGCGAGCACGGAAAACTCTCAAATACCAAAACAAAAAAAAAGCCTGGCCTCGGGGAACCGTCATCGGGATCCTGTTGGGCCGTCTTGGGAGGCATTTGGTCCGTCGTCGGGCCGTCTTGGGCTGGTATAAGGGCTTTGTTCGGGTTCTCTTGGAACGTCCTCCCGCCATCCCGAGCGTCTCGGAGCGGTAGTGGGGCTGCCTGAGGCCGTCTTGGAGACACCTGGCTGGGGGCTCTCTGGAGCGTCCGAGAGCGGCGGGGCGCTCCCAGGCGCTCGGGGGCATCTCGCGACCTTCTCCCCTCTTTCGCACGCGCAATGACCAGAATTGCAGTACAGATGACGTTGGGCCCCAGCTTCGCCTTCCGCATCTCGCTGAGCAGCGCCAACGCCCGCTGCCACTGCTCGCCTTTCCCGCACGCTCTGATTCCAGCGTCGTAGCGCAGATGACGTCGGGCTCCAGCTTCGCCTTCCGCATCTCGCTGAGCAGCGCCAGGGCTCGCTGTCACTGCTCGCCCTTCTCGCACGCGCTGATCGCTCCAGCTTCGCCTTCCGCATCTCGCTGAGCAGCGCCAATGCCCGCTGTCACTGCTCGCCTTTCTCGCACGCGCTGATCCAAGCGCTGTAGCTGACTTGGGCTGACCCGTGGACTCCGTCCACGAAACCTGCACCAACGGACATGTGGTGATGGACATGGTGCCGAAAGGCTTCTGTCCCTTCTTGCTGCGTGATCCTGACCTCTCCTCCTCCTCCTCCTCCTCCTCCTCCGCCTCCTCCTCCTCCTCCTCCTGCTCCTCCTCCTCCTCCTCCTCCTCCTCCTCCTCCTCCTCCTCCTGGGCCTCCTTTCCTCCTCCTCCCCTGGATCCTTCATCCCTTCGACGTTGCGTCGTCAATCGTCGATCCTACGACGGCGCCCCCGAAAGCACAAGCGTCCAGGGCCCTCCGAGCGTGGAAAACAACTCCTTCGGCCGTGCGATGAGCGTCTCGCCTCTCGTCCGCTGCCCGTGTCTTGAGAGCAGCTTTGAAGCCTCTTCTGGGGGCCGCCTGGAAGCCGTTCAAGAGCCTCTTGGGAGTCTTTTCGGCCTCTTGGAAGACTTTGGGGCCGCATTGGGCGCCTCGTGGGCCGTCTTGGGGCTGTCTCGGGTAGCTCTCGGGCCGAATTGGGGCCGCTTTGGGCCGTCTTGGGCCGTTCTTCAGGCCCCGGGTCCATTTGGGCCGTCTTGGGCACCCTCTGGGCCACCTTGGAGCCGTCCTAGGGCGTCTTGCAGCCTTCTGAGGGGCCTTCGGGGCCGCTTGGGGCAAGCTTAGAGGGTAGTGGGGCCGTCGTGGGCGGTGTGGAAAGGAGAAACGCGAGAATTATAAAAATGCACGTTTCCCAAATGTGCTGGGACGATTTGTGCTTCTTGTGGCCCTCTTGAAAGCCTTGGTCGAGGCTTCTAAGGGCCTGGAAGCCACTGAGGCGGCCTTGGGGGCCTCCCGAGCGTCTGAAAGCCGTCTTGCGGCCGTCTCAGCTTCTTGGAGCCACCGTGAGCCGTTTCGGGGTCCCCCTGCGGCCCTCCGGAAGCGTCCTGAGGCGACCCGGGGGCCGCCCGGAAGCGCGCCCGAGCTGGCTGGCACGGTTTTGTGCTCTTAGATCCACCGCCCTTCCCGCACGCGGCGCCGCCGGCGTTGTAGCGCAGATGGCGTCGGGCTCCAGCTTCGCTTCCCGCATCTCGCTCAGCAGCGCCAGAGCCCGCTGCCACTGCTCGCCCTTCTCGCACGCGCTGATCCCAGCATTGTAACTGAGGACTGACCCGTGGACTCCGTTCACGACAGTTTTCTGGAATGGTTCTTGGAGGAAAAGCAAAGTGTTTGCTGAGAACCTATAGGCACTACGACGGCCGGGGCGGCGGCAGCGAGACCGTGCCTTTCTCAGTCAGCTTGGCCCCAGCGCGCGGCTCGTTCGCCCCCCTCGTAGGGGGGGTAGTTTCGAAGTCCCTCGGGGATGTGCGTCGAAGTCGGAGCCCATAGGAGGCGTCTCAGGAGCGCCCAGGGAAGGTTTCTGGAGGCCCTCGGGGGACGCCACCAGGAGCGTAGGGGGAGGCTCGCAAGGATCCCCGGGGAGGGTCCAAAAGAGAGCTGCAGGAGGGCCTGCTCCGCGGCTTGACGCAGGATCGGCGACCGGACGGCGCCGCTGTGGGAGCGGCACGGGCACGGCAGAGCTCCGCTCCCAGCGGCGCCCCAGAGCGGCCCAGAGGGGGCCAACTCGCTGCCACCGCCCTCCCACCCTGCGAGCGCGGGGGGGCGGCACGGTGGTATAGACTATAGGGCTGGCCCGTGGACTGGTTCCACTTGCGGGGTGAAGCGTGTGAGGGCCTCTGGGGGTGTCACGGCAACGTGGGGCTCGATCCTCGCAGTCGGCGCACGCCTCTGCGTGGTGTTGCTTGCTGCCGCTGTTTCATGTTGCTGATCATGCTCGCCGCCGCTGCGTATCGTTGTTGCTTGTGGCTGAAGGGTGCTGCTGTTGGCCACGCTTGCTTGGTGCGTGCTGCTGACCGCTACATGCTGCTGCTGCTGCCGTTGCTGCTGCTGGTTGCTGTTGCTGTGCGCTGACGCTATTGTTGCCTGCTTCGTGTTTCGTGCTGCTGCCTTCGGATCATGGGGGCGTTTGGGGCCACCCCAGGATGATCTTGAGCCACCTTGATGCTGCACTAAGGCCAAGGCTGGAAATTCAGAAGCAACTGCGGTGGGCCTTAATTTCGAACGATGGTCCATTGTGGCTGTGGCCGCCCGAGGAGTTCGGAGGATGCGCGCGGGCCGCGTGGGCTGGGGAGAAGACCGTAGGCACTGCGGAGAATGCCCTCAATGGCCAGCCTGTCCGGCCAGAGCACTCTCAGAAAGAGCTCCATGACGAGTCGCCCATTCAGACCAGAGCAGTTGCAGAGAAGGAGAGAAAAAAAGAGGCGCACGGGCGCCGTCTTCTCCTGGGTGGCCGGCGCGGCCCCAGAGCCTTTGGGAGACTATCCCTCGGAAGCCCCTTGGAAGTGGTTTTGGGGGTGTCCTGCGGTCTCTCGAAGGCCTCTTGGGGCCTGAATTGGGCCTCTCGGGGGTCCTTCTGGGGCGTCTGGGGGGGCCGCTTGGGGGCCGGCTGGCGGTTTCGAGGATCATCCTGGAGCGGAGGGCGCGAACTGTCAACTCGAGTTCCCCCTCGTGGGGCCCTCTTGGGGCCGACTTGGGCCGTCTTGGGGGCCTCTTGGGCCATTTGGGGGCCCTCTTGGGCTGTCGGGGGGGGCCTCTTGGGTCATCTTAGCGCGATCTTGGGAGCCCTGGGGCTGGCTTGGAGACACCAGAAAGGCGAGAACGCTGAAACTTCTCAGAAAGCCGAAAGAAACCAATGAATTTGGCCTCTTGGGGACCTCCTTAGGGGCCTCTTTAGGCCTTCTTGAGCCGTCTTCCGGCACTTTGGGGCCTTCTTGGGCGTCTGGGGGGCCTCTTGGTAGGAGGCCAACAAGCATGCACCGATACCATTCGCCCCCCCCGCGAGCCCACACAGAAGCTATATGTCCTCATTTGTTAAACGTGCGCAATCGGCGCATGCGCGTGGCCATCCTGTTGCACCCTATACAGCATACCCCGCCGAGAAAATGGCCGCGAACACATTCGACGCGATAACTTCCTGTGCCATCTTGGGGACGTCTTGGGGCCCAAACACGGCCCCAGCGGCCCCCAGGAGCGCCCCGCAAGAGCAACAACAGGCTTCCAAAAGAGGTCCCAATGAACCCCTGTTCCAACTCCACAGCGTGAAATTCGAAACGATAACATGTACTGCCACTTTGGGGGCCGTCTGGAGCTTCCAAGACGGCCCCAGAAACCCCCAGGAGCGCCCCAAGAGAGCCATAAGAGGGCTCCAAAAAGGGCCCCGGTGAGCCCCTGGTTCAACTCCAAGACGTGGATTTCGAAGCGAACACTTTCAGTCCCCTGTGGGCAGCCTCTTGGGCCCCCAAGACGGCCCCAGAGGTCCCCATGAAAATCCTCCCAAGGCCGCGAGAGGGTTCCGAGAGGGTTCCTTGAATTAGCCCCCCCGGTGATGATCCCATGTGCCCTGCTTCGCTCACGCACGACGGGCAGCTTTTGCTGCAAACCCCGCACATGCACAAGGGCACCGCTGTTGCTACAAGTCCGCCTCACGAGCGTTTTTGCTACACTCCCCTCTCATGTGCAAGGGCTGTGCTCTCGCTTCAGCGCCCTCCACAAGGGACATGATTGTGACAATCGCCCCATGCGCACAAGGCAATGTTGTTAAAACTCCCCTCATAGACAAGGGAATCGCTGCTGCTGTAATCCCGCCCGACGTTCGGAGAGCTGTTGTTGCTATCCTCCTCATGCACGAGTGTCGGCTTTTGTTTTTCAATGTCGAACGCCATGCGTGAAGAGACGTCCGTCCTTAATGCAATCCCACCCATGTGAAAAAACAATTTGGTTACACTCGACCTCGTGACAGAGAGAGCTAATTCATGACGCCACCGGGTTGGGAGTGCCGCTCCTGGTGCTCCTTCTGCGTGGCTGCCTGCGCGCTCGCTTCGCTTGCCCCTCTCTTTTCTTGCTGCCTAGTCGCGGCCCGGCTAGTGATCGGACGGCTTTCGACTTGCTTCGCGAGCCCGCAGACCAAAAAAAACCCACCACCCCCTCCAGAGACGATGCCCAGGCGAGTTGCCTCTCAGAGTCTCCTCGGATGTCTCTTGCACATTTTTTGGAGACCTACTGAAGCGTCTTGGGGGCCTCTTGGCGGTCCCGGGGGCCTCGTGGAGCGTCTCGGGTGCCCCGGGGAGCCTCTTGGGGCCTCTTCGGGATCTCTTGGGAGCCTCTTGAAGCATGTTGGGCGCCTCTTGGGGCCTACTGGGCGCCTCTTGGGGCCATCTTGATTTGCTCTTGGGAGCGCTCTTGGGGCCATCTTTGAGGAGATCAATCAAAGAAGGGGGTGGCTTCAATTACGCCCCCCCCCCCTCGGGAGCCCCACTAATCGCCTCTTGGACCCTTCTTGGAGCGCTCTTGGGGCGCTCTTGGGCGCTCTTGGGGCCGTCTTGGGGCTCTCTTGGGGACTTCAGGGGCCCTCTTGGAGCTGTCTTGAGGGCTCGGAAGGCCATCGGAAGCGAAAAGGCGAGAAGGCAAACATCATTGATTTGCCTTAGGTTGTTGGAAGATGTGGCCTCCTGGGGAAGCTCCGTGGCCACTCTGAGCCGTCTTGGAACTGTTTTGGGGCCTCTTGGAGCATCTTGAAAGCCATATTGAGCCATCTTGGGCGATCTTCAATCAAGAGAGGCCCAACAGGAGTCAGCACGAGAGGCCCAAGATGAGTCAAGACGAAATGAAAGGAGTGAAAGGAGAGCCCTCCCGCATGACTTCATCTTGTCTCCACTTGAGCCGCTCCTGGGTCCTCCCAGGGTTCCGCTCAAGATCTTCGGAAGGCTCAGGTATAGCACCAAGACGGCTCGAGAACCCTAAGATGACCCCTCCCAGATGCTCCCAGGAGGCCTTTCGAAGCGCAGCGCCAGGAACATCAAGAAAAAAACCTTCCTGACGCTCGGGGGGCCCCTTTCCAAGTCCGCCTCCCCTCCTTTTCCCACTCTGGCCCCTTGTGGTCCACGTATGGCTTCCTCCTCCATTCCCTCGACCCGCTCCTGTTTCTTTGTTCGTTCCGTTGACCTGGCGCCAACCATCAATGGATCGAAACGTGAACAACTATTTTTCTAAACCCACGAGTTTGATGGCGGTGTATGCTTGTTGGCCTCTGACTTAGGGGCCATCTGGCGGTTTCGGGGGTCATCCTGGAGCGGAGGGCGCAGACTGTCAGTTCGAGTTCCCTCTCTTGTGGGGCCCTCTTGGGGCCGTCTTGAGGGCCTCTTGGGCCGTCTTGGAACCCTCTTGGGCTGTCTGGGAGCTCTCTTGGGGGCCCCTTGGGTCATCTTGGCCCGATCTTGGGAGCCCCGGGGCCGGCGTGGAGCGTGGAGACACCGAAAAGACGAGAACGCTGAAACTCTTCAAAAACCCAAGGGGAACTCAATCATTTTGGCCTCTCGTGGGGCCCTTCTTGGAAGCCTCTTGGAGCCCTCTTGAGCCGTCTTCTGGCACTGTGGGGCCGTCTGAAAACCAGATTGGCGACCTCTTGGACCGTCTTGGGGGCGTCTCGGGCCATCTTGGGCCGTCTTGGGGCCCTCAGTGGCCGTCCTGGATTCCTCCAGGGCCGGCTGGGGCCGGGTTTGGGTCATCGGATCCCCCGCCCTTCTCGCACGCGCGAGTCCTGGCATAGATAACGTTGGGCCCCAGCTTCGCCTCCCGCATCTCGCTGAGCAGCGCCAGGGCCGGCTGCCACTGCTCGCCCTTCTCGCACGCGCTGATCCCCGCGCTGTAGCTGACCAGGGCAGACCCGTGGACTACGTCCACAGCATGCGGCCCGATCTGGTCACAGTTCCCCTGGCGGCCACGAAAGCTTACTCGCATGCAAGGGTGAGGTTCGATGTATGTGCGACTTCTGGTCTGCAATGCTGCCAGCGACGCTGCTGGCCGGGTGGCCCACAGCTCGACGGCCCGATCGCCTAATGTCTTTGCTGCCTGCGTCATGGCTTGCTCGTCCGCTCGCTGCCGCTCGCTGCCGCTTGCTGCTTGGGGCCGCCTTGAGGTCGTCTTATAAGGGAGCGCTGCGTGACCAAACCCCTCCCACCCTCCCCTCAGGGCTGCCCGCTTTTATTACTCGCCCGAAGTCGACGCACGTACCTCTGGCAACCTCTGGCCGTCCAGGCATTTACAATTATTTTTCTGAGCTGCGTGGTGGGCCGTCTTCGAGGCGCGCCGGGCCACTCCGAGGCCGCGAGGGGCCCTGCGGGTGCGGAAGGTGCCAGGGGCCAGGAGAAAGGGAGCGAGGAGGAGCGAGGGGAGATGAGCAGGGAGAGAGGAGCGTTGAGCAGTGGGCGAGGGAGCGAGAAGAGGGGGTCCCAGAGCGACAAGCACACGAATCTCCCAGTGGACTCGACGCGCGCGGGGCCAAGCATTCAGACACCTGGCCTCCTCTTGGGTCGCTTGCTCGCCCTCCTCGCACGCGCTGCTCCCAGCACTGTGGCTGACCAGGGCGAACCCGTGGACTTCGCCCACGACCTTCAGGTCCCCCTGGTGCGCCTCCACGGCGCGGCTCCGTGCCATGCGCGCATGCCTTCGCGCTCTCGCGCCCGCACCCACGGAGAAGAGCAGCGCTCCAAGTGCGGCGAAGATCCGTGGGCGGGGTACGCACGGAAAGCTGTAGTGAGTTCTTCCCAGCTGCCTGGGTGAAGCGTGACGGCGGGCGCCCGCACCCACGGAGAAGGGCAACGGTCCAGATGCGGCCACGAAGCGTGTCCGGGGTACGGCTCGCAGGCTCTGGAAACTTGTTTGTCCTGCAGAAACCGGAAGGCGGGCGCTGCCTTCTCCTAGGGATAGCTTGGGAGCTTCTCGGAGCTTCTTTCGGCCTCCTGGACGCTCTCGAGGTCGTCGGCCGTCTATGGAGTTTGGAGCTTTTCGGCTTCTGCGGCCGTCTAAAGATCGTCTTGGCGCCGTCTTGGGCCGTCTTGGGCAGCTCTTGAGGCTGTCTTGGATGCCTCGTGGGCTGTCATGAGCGCCTCAGGAGCCGTCCGGATGCTGTGTTGGGCTGCCTTGGGGCCCTCATGCGGCTGTCCTGGGAGATCTTGAAACACTCTTGGGAGCCTGTATGGCCGTCGTGGTAACGTCGGATACGAAAAGCACGGGAATTACAAACATGTTTCCTTGTTCGGGCCCTCTCGGGGCCCTTCTCGGTGCCCCGTCGGGACGTTCTGGAGGCGTCTGAAGCCGTGTACAAGGAATCTTGGGCGCCTTGGAGTCTCTCTTGGACGGTCTTAGGCCCCAAAACGCTCTTTGGCCATCTTCGAAGCGCACCAGGGCCTGCCGCCCGCTCTTGGGAGCCTTGGTGAGAAGAGCTTTGTACTTCACCTATCGCTCTTTTAATGGGCGTCTCTGGTGGTCCTTGTGGGTTTTTTTTTCTGGCCATTCTGAAGCTTTTTTGAGCTGCTCTGGGAGCGTTTTGGGACGGGGCCATTTGGGGCCGTCACGGGGCGTCCGGGAGGCCTTGGACCGTCTTGGAGCTCTCTTGAGGCTGCCTGAGGCCGTCTTGGGAGCCTCTTGGGGCCCCCTCGGAGTTCTCTTGGGGCCGTCTTGGGGTTCTGTGAGGCCGTCTCAAGGATCTCTGGCGTCGTCTTGGGGCTCTTGTGGGCCGCCTTGGAGACCTCTTAGGGGCCGCTGGCGTCTTCTTGGGGCGATTTGGGAGGCCTCTTGGCGTGTCCTGGGGCGCTGAGGGGCGCACAAGGCGGGCATGCTAAAAATATGCGTTTCGTGTAAAAACAATGACGATGTGTGCCTCTTTGGCGTGCGCTCGGGGCCCTCTTGGGGCGTCTTTGCAGCCTCTTGGATCGTCGTGGAGCCCCGCCGGGAAGGCTTCGGGCCCTCGTGGGCCGTCTCGGGACCGACTAAGGCCGTCTTGGAGCGCTCTTGGACGGTCTGGGAACCCCTCTGGAGCGCCTCTGGGACTGGCCTGAGCGATTCGGCCCTGTGGTGGCGCTCTAAAGGGGCGATTTTGTCCACTTGAGGCCCTGGGCTTCTCGCACGCGCTTCCACCAGCCATGTAGGAGAGACTAGGGCGAACCCGTGGACTACGTCCACTTGCGGTGAAGCGTGTGGTGGCCTCTGGGGGAGTCATTAAAACGTGGGCTCGACCTTCGCAGTCGGCGCGTGCCTCTGCGTGTTGCTTGCTGCCGCTGTTGCATGTTGTTGGTAATGCTCACCGCTGCTGCGTGTCGCTGTTGCTTGTGGCTGAATGGTGCTGCTGATGGCCACGTTTGCTTGGTGCGTGCTGCTGACCGCTACTACCTGCTGATGCTACTGCTGTTGCCGCTGCTGTTTGCTGTTGCTGTACGCTGACGGCATTGTTGCCTGCTTCGTATTTCGTGCCGCTGCCTTCGGGTGACATGGGGCATTTTGGGCAACCCCAGGATGATCTTGAGCCACCTTTGACCTGTGTTTGGGCCAAGGCTGGAAATTAAGAAGCAATTGCGGTGGGCCTTAATTTCGAACGACATTCCATGTTGGCTGTGGCCGCCCGAGGAGGTCGGAGGATGCGCGCGGGCTGCGCGGACTTGGGAGAAGATCGAAGGCACTGCGGAGTGTGTCCCCGCTGGCCAGCCTGTCCGGAGCACTCTCAGAAAGAACTCCCGGACGAGTCGCCCATTCAGTCTGGAGCCTTTGCAAAGGAGAAAAGGACATGAGAGGTGCATGGGCGCCATATTTTTCTGGGGGGCCGGCGCGGTCCCAGAGCTCTCTGGGAGACCTTCCCTCGGAAGCCTCCAGGGAACGGTTTTGAGTGTGTCTTGCAGCCTCTCAAGGGTCTCTTGGAACCCTAGATGGGGGCCTTCTCAGGGGCCTCTTGGGGGCCAGCTGGCGGTTTCGGGGATCATCCCTGAGCGGAGGGCGCGGACTGTCAGTTCGAGTTCCCCCTCGTGGGGCCCTCTTGGGGCCGTCTTGGGCAGTCTTGGGGGCCTCTTGGGTCATCTTAATTGGCGCGAACTTGGGAGCCCCAGGGCCAGCTTGGAGCGTGGAGCCCCCTGGGGCCGGCAGGGGCCGGTTTTGTGTCATTGGATCCCCCGCCCTTCTCGCACGCGCGAGCCCTGGCGTTGTAGTACAGATGACGTTTGGCGCCAGCTTCGCCTCCCGCATCTCGCTGAGCAGCGCCAGGGCCCGCTGCCACTGCTCGCACTTCTCGCACGCGCTGATCCCAGCGTTGTAGGAGACTAGGGCTGACCCGCGGACTCCGTCCACGACATCTTTCTGTAATGGTTCTCGGGGGAACGGAGGAGATATTGCCGAAACCTATGAGCACAGCGACGGCCAGAGCGGCGGCAGCGAGACCGCGCCTTCGTGTCCGAGCTCTTGCGGCGCTCCGGCAGCTTGGCCCTGGCACACAGCTCGTTCGCCCCCCTCCTATTGAGGGCAATTTTGAAGTCTCTCGGGGAGATGCGTCAAAGTCGAAGCCAATCTGAAGCGTCTCAGGAACGCCTGGGGAAGGGCTCTAGAGGCCCTCGGGGAAAGCTCCTGGGAGCGCCGGGGAGGCTCGCAAGGATCTCCAGGGAGGACCCAAGAGAGTTTCAAGAGGGTGTGACATTCAATAAGATCTTAACAGAAACCGCTGTTGGGTCAGACATGCTGCGCTCCGTATGCAGCCACGAGCCGGGGGAGGGGTCTGCGGGTTGGTCTGGGGCCGCCTTGCTCGTCGTGAAGACCACTTGCAACGTTTTGGAAGCCTCTTGGGTTTGAGGCATTGCCGGGGCCGCCTGAGGGTTGTCTAGGGCCGACTTGGGCGTCTCTGGGGCAGTCTGGGCACCGTCTGGGGGTCGTCTTGGGCCGTCCTGGGTAGCTCTTAAAGGCCTGTCTTGGGTGCCCTGTGGGCCGCCAGGGGCGCCTCGGGAGCCGTCCTGGGGCCATCTTGGGACCCTGTATGGCCGTCTTCGACGCTATGAGGAGGGCAAGCCCAGGAACTGCCAAAATGCACGTTTTACCAAGGGAATGGGATGATTAGTCGGTGTTCGGGCTCTCTTGGGGCTCGTCGTGGAGCCTACTTGCAGCGTTTTGGAAGCCTCTTGGTTCGTCTGGAGGACGTCTGAGGCGTTGTCGGGGCCGTCTGGGGGTTGGCCTGGGGCTGTCTTGGGCGTCTCTGGAGCAGTCTGGGGATCGTCTGGGGGTCGTCTTGGGCCGTCCTGGGCCGCTCTTCAGGGCTGTCTTGGGTGCCCCGTGGGCCGCCAAGGGCGCCTCGGTCTGGAGCCGTCCTGGGGCCATCTTGGGACCCTGTATGGCCGTCTTGGACGCAATGAAGCAGAGCTCACTCGGGGCGTTTTGGAAGACTCTTGGACCGTCTTCGGCCGTCTGGGGGCCCTCTTGGGGGCCTCCTCGTGCGTCTGGGAACGCTCTTGGGCCATCTTGGAAGCGCGCCGAGGCCTGCTGGGGCTCGCAGGGGCCGCCGGAAAGGGCCGGTCCGCTGCCACCGATCGGGAGCTCCGCGAGCGCCGCCATTGTACGAGAGATAACGACGGGACCCAGCTTCGCCTTCCGTATCTCGCTGAGCAGTGCCAGTGCCCGCTGCCACTGCTCTCCCTTCTCGCACGCGCTGATACCAGCGCTGTAGCTGACTAGTGTGAAACCGTGGATTAAATCCACGGCGTGCTGAGCCTGGGGCTCGCACACCGTATGTGACCAGCTCGTCGAAGTTGAACAGCTCCGGCGTCCCTGGGGCGGCAGGGGCGACCTTCGGAGGCACATGTGAACGTCACGTTTGAGGGCACTGTTTGGGGGCTGTGTTTGTGGGCCACGTTTGGGGGCGCCTGGGGGCTACGCGTGGGAGTGACGCTCGGGGGCCACGCTTACTGGGGCGATAGGGGCGACCTTCGGAGGCTTTGTGGGGGCCGCCTTTGGGGGTTCCGTTTGGGGGCCTCGTGCGGGGCCGACGTTTAAGGGGCCACGTCTGGGGGCCACCCTGGAAAGCAGTCGGGGAGCTCCGGGGGCACTGACCTGGAAGCGTTGAAAGTATTGGGTTTTGCTGATCGCGCCGGGCCTGGGCGCGATTAGCACAAACATAAGGGTTTTCAGGCTCAGTCGGAGTGAGGGGGCCACGTTTACGGGCCTCGGTTGGGGGCCGCGCAGGGAGGTCTTGGGGTCATTTGAGGGTCTCGGGCCGTCTCGGAGGTCGCTTTGTGTCCTCTTGTGCGGCATCTTGGGCCCTTCTTGGGGCGTTTTGGGGCCATCTTGGGGGCCTCGGGCCGTTTCGGAAGTCGCTTTGGGCCCGCTCGGGCGGGGTCTGGGGCCCAGTTGGGGCTGACTTGGGAGTCACTTGAAACTCTCTTGGGCCGTCGTGGGGCCCTACTGTCTGCGGGCCTTCTTGGGCTGTCTGGGGGTCCTCCTGGGGCCCTCTTGGACCGTGCAGGGGCGATGTAGGAAGCCTCCAAGGCCATCCTGGGCCGTTGCGGGCCCGAAATGGAGGGAACAGGAAACCCCTCGAAACCTTCGGGAAACGCACAAGTTTTGCCCCTTGGCGCCGTCCAGGCGGTTCTCGGGGGCCGCCTTTTTTGGGCCGTCAGGGGGCTCCGGTCGGGTCGGCTTCGGCCCTTGTGGGCGTCTGTGAGGCCGTCTTGGAGCGATCTGGGGGTCCTGGAGCCGTCGGCGAGCGCTCCAGGGGCCTCCTGGGGCCGTGGAGGAGCGCCCCAGAGGCTCTCCGGGCGGCCCGCGGGCTCTCTGGGCGGCCCGGGGCGCTGCCGCAGATTTTCCTTTTCGCAGGCGCCGCGGCCACAATGGTAGTACAGATGACGTTGGGCTCCAGCTTTGCCTCCCGCATCTCGCTGAGCACCGCCAGTGCCCGCTGCCACTGCTCGCCCTTCTCGCACGCGCTGATCCCAGCGTTGTAGGAGAGACTAGGGCTGACCCGCGGCCTTCTGGCCGCGGAATCTGCCCGCCATGGCGTGAACGTGGACGTGGAGCGTCTCTGGGGCCTCGCAGGCGAGGGGAGGTTGGAGGGGCCCCCGGACGGCGTGGATGGAGGTGGCCGCTGGAGAGGGAGGTGGGCGAGGGATGCAGGCAAGCAGGCCTGAAGGAAGGAACGCGATGGTAGAGGCGGTGTCAGCGGAAGCACACCCATGCAGGTATGACATGATGTGGACAGAAGCTGCTTCTCACGCCACAATATGTGTTCATCATAGCTTCTGCGGGGAGGGTAGCCGTGATAATTGTATCTGCTCCTCGCCGGGGCCGAATGATAATTTTATCTGGTTGTGTGGTGACAATGGGGGCGGTGGGCGCGGCCTAAGAAGCCCGCAAGAGGGCGGCGAGACGGCCCAAAAGTTCTCCAGGACTGGCCACGAAGCTTCTTAAACGGCCCCTGAGGGCCCCTCGAACTCCCTAAGTCGGACCCACACGAATCGGCATTTCGAGCGCACCGCCCCAAGACGGAAGACGTCCCCAAAAGGCGCAGAGATGGCTCCCATAGGGTCCAAGAAGCCCCTCAGACGACGCTGGAAGTTCGACGCTCCGCAAGAGAGAAGGATCCAAGGCCTCTTGGGGGCCGTTTAGGGGCCTCTTTTCGTCCTCCTAGGGGTCTCTCGGGGCCCTCTTGGGCCGTCTTGAGTGCCTCGTGGGTTGTCTTTGGGCGATGTGGGGCCGTCTCGGGCGCCTCTCGGACCATCTTGAGGCCGTCTTGGGACCATCTTGGGCCGATCTTGGGCGCTCTTGGGGCTGTCTTGGATGTTTCTTGGGCTGTCTCGGGCGCTTCTGGAGCCGTCCCGTGGCCGTCTCAGGCCGTGTTGGGTGGGGCGATCTGGATCCCTGTACAGTCGTCTGGGAGACTGTGCAGATGGAAAGGCTTGGAGACGGGGCAGTGGAGGCCTGCACAGCCGTCTTGGAGACGGGGCGCTGGGGCCGTCCAGGGCTAGTATGAACTGCTCTTGGAGCTGTCTTGCGTGCGTCTTGTGCCGTCTGTGGGGCTTTTTGGGGGCCCTCCTGAGGGCCTCTGAGTGCGAAGCTGTCTTGGATGCGGTTTGGGCCGTCTCGGGTGCCTCTGGAGCCGTTCCGGGGCCGTGTGGGGCGATATAATGAAAATGTGCGTTTCCCGTCGGGAATGGGACGAATTTGGCATCTTGGGGCTCTCCTGAAGGCCCTCCTGGGCCATCTTGGGAGCCTCCTGACTTGCCTTGGGAGCCCCTGGCGCAGTCTTGGAGCTCCTTAGGGTGCTCTGAGGCCGTCTTGGCGCCCCCTGGAGCCTCTCGGAGCCGTCCCGTGGGCTATTATGAACTGCTCTTGGGGCTGTCTTGTGTGCGTCTTGGGCCGTCTGGGGCGCCTCTGGAGCCGTCCCGGGGCCGCCTCGGGCCGTTTGGGGGCCCTCCTGGGGTGCTCTGGGGGTGTCTTGGGGCGAGCCGGGGGCCTGTAAACCCAACTTGGGCACGGTGAAAACGAAAAGAGCAAGCATACCAAAAATGTACGTTTCAATTTTTGCCTCTTGGGTCCCTCCTGGGGGTCCTCCCGGGCCGCCTTGGGAGCCTTCTGGCCTGCCTTGGAGGCCTCTGGGGCCGACCTGGGGCTCGGTTGGGTCCCTCTTGGTCTGTCTGGGCGCCCTCGTGGGCGTCTCTGAGCCGTCTCGGAGCGGCCCGGGGGCTCACAGGGCGGCCCGGGGGTCCCGGCCAGTCTTTCGGGACAGAGGGCCTCCTGGCACGCAAAGATTGCTGCATTGTAGAAGAGATGACGTCGGGACCCAGTTTCGCCCCCCGCATCTCGTTGAGCAGCGCCAGTGCCCGCTGCCACTGCTCGCCCTTCTCGCACGCGCTGATCCCAGCGTTGTAGGAGACTAGGGCAGACCTGTGGACTCCGTCCACGACATCAGCTCGACGAAGCGAGGGGTCTCTGACCACGATGGCCAGTTGAAGGCGCTCTCCACACCCTCCAGGACCTCCTGCTCTCCTGTGTTCCTCAGCTGCTGCTGCTGCTCGGAGGTCCTGCTGCTTCCTCCCCCTCCTCCTCCTCCTCCTCCTCCGCCTCCTCCTCCTCCTCCTCCTCCTCTTCCACCTTCTTCTCCTCTTTCGCTGGATTCTCCATGCCCTCGGTCGGCAATCGTCGATCCTACGACGACTCTCCCCAACAGAGAAACATCGAAGGCCCTCGGAGCGTCCAACATTGTTCTTTTGTGCCTTCGATATGCCGGTCGCCTCTCGTCCGCTCCCCCCCTCCTGGAAGCAATTCTGAGGCCACGTAGGGCTTGGTGGGAGCTGTTTGGGGATCTCTTGGGGCGTTTTTGCATGCGACATGCCTGTCGCCTCTCGTCCGCTCCCCTGCTCCTGGAGGGAATTCTGAAGCCACTGAAGGCTTCGTGGGGGCCGTTTTGGAGCCTCTTCGGCCTTCTTTTGGACCTCCCGGGGGGGCTCTTAGGGCCCTCTCGGGCCGTCTTGGGTGCCTCTTGGGCCGTCTTGGGGCCGTCTGAGACCCGCCTCGGCGCCTCTTGGGCTGTCTTGGGCCGTCTTGGGCCGCTCCTGGGGCCGTCTTGGGTGCCTCTTGGGCCGTCTTGGGCGCCTCCTGGGCCGTCCTGGGGCCGTCCTGGGGCGTCTTGGGACCGTCTGGGGGCCCTCCTGGCCCGTCTTGGGGCTCTCTTGGGGTCCTCTTCGGCCGTCTTGGAGCGGTCGGGGGGACTTCTTGGGCCGTCTTGGAGCGTCGGGAAGCCGAAGAGGCGAGGAGGCCGAAAACATCGAAAAACACAATAGAAATCGACGATTTCTGTCGCTCGGGGCCCTCTTGGGAGGCCTCTTGGGAGGCCTCTTCGGGCGTCTTGGACGCCTCTTGGGCCGCCTGGGGCGAATCTCGGGCGTCTTGGGCCCATCTTTAAGCGTGCCGGGGCTCTCCGGGGCCGTCTTGGGGGCTTCTGGGGGCCCTCCCGACATGTCCTGGAGCCTGCCTGGGCGGCCCGGGGCGGGGGCCAGCCCGGGGCGGTTTTGGTGCATTGGGGCCTGCGCCATTCTGGCACGCACTGGGCCCTGCAATGTAGTAGAGACTAGGGCAGACCTGTGGACTCCGTCCACGACATCAGCTCGACGTGGCGAGGGGTCTCTGGGCAAGCGCGGGGGGGTGCGGCTGCAGGGCCGAAAGGCAATCATGATGCCTTCGATATGCCGGTCGCCTCTCGTCCGCTCCCCCCCTCCTGGAAGCAATTCTGAACCACTTAGGGCTTCGTGGGGGCCGTTTGGAGATCTCTTGGGGCGTTTTTGCCTGCGATATGCCTGTCGCCTCTCGTCCGCTCCCCCGCTCCTGGAGGGAATTCTGAAGCCACTGAAGGCTTCGTGGGGGCCGTTTCGGAGCCTCTTCGGCCTTCTTTTGGGCCTCCCGGGGGGGCTCTTAGGGCCCTCTCGGGCCGTCTTGGGTGCCTCTTGGGCCGTCTTGGGGCCGTCTGAGGCCCGCCTCGGCGCCTCTTGGGCTGTCTTGGGCCGTCTTGGGCCGCTCCTGGGGCCGTCTTGGGTGCCTCTTGGGCCGTCTTGGGCGCCTCCTGGGCCGTCCTGGGGCCGTGCTGGTGCGTCTTGGGACCGTCTTGGGGCCCTCCTGGCCCGTCTTGGGGCTCTCTTGGGGTCCTCTTCGGCCGTCTTGGAGCGGTCGGGGGGACTTCTTGGGCCGTCTTGGAGCGTCGGGAAGCCGAAGAGGCGAGGAGGCCGAAAACATCGAAAAACACAACAGAAATCGACGATTTCTGTCGCTCGGGGCCCTCTTGGGAGGCCTCTTGGGAGGCCTCTTCGGGCGTCTTGGACGCCTCTTGGGCCGTCTGGGGCGAATCTCGGGCGTCTTGGGCCCATCTTTAAGCGTGCCGGGGCTCTCCGGGGCCGTCTTGGGGGCTTCGGGGGGCCCTCTCGACATGTCCTGGAGCCTGCCTGGGCGGCCTGGGGCGGCCCGGGGCCAGCCCGGGGCGGTTTCGGTGCATTGGGGCCTGCGCCCTTCTGGCACGCACTGGGCCCTGCAATGTAGTAGAGACTAGGGCTGACCCGTGGACTCCGTCCACGACATCTTTCTGGAATGGTTCTCGGAGGAACGGCGCAGATTGTATCGAAAATCTACAAACACGGCGGCGGCTCGGGCGGCGGCAGCGAGACCGCGCCTTCGTGTCCGAGCTCTTGCAGCGCTGCAGCAGCTTGGCCCAGCGCACTGCTCGTTCACCCCCCTCCTATTGAGGACAGTTTCGAAGTCTCTCGGGGATGTGCGTCGAAGTCGAAGCCCATCTGAGGCGTCTCAGGAGCGCTCGGGGAAGGGCTCGCCATCGGGGAAAGCCACCGAAAGCGCCGGGGAGGCTCGCAAGGATCTACAGGGAGGGCCCAAGAGAGCTTCAAGAAAATTTGAAATACAGTGAACTCTTAAGAGAAACCGCTGTTGGGTCGGCCATCACCTCCGGGCGCGCCTTGATGGTGCGATCCAGTCGCATCACCGCCAACGGGAGGGTTTGTTCGCCATGTCCCATTCTGTTCGCCCAGAGGGTCAGTGGAGGCCTTCGGGCGAACAGAACGGGACAGGGCAAGGAATGGGGAAGACATGTCCGAATCTCCTGGGCCCCCCAGATGCTCGTCCGAAGAATGCGGAGAGGTCCCAGGGTCATATCAATTGGCTGCTGTCCCAGGGGTCCGGTCTGCTTGGCCCGAAGAGTTTGCCAAGGCCCCTGGGGGAACAGAATGGCACAGCATATCGGGCAAAGGGGGGCGGTAGCTGGCCTGTCAGACCCGGCGTTCGTCTTCTGCCCAAGCGGCGCGGGGCCCACGGGCCCCAGGGTTGGCGTCCCGCTGGGATTCCTCTTGTTCGCCCACAGGGTTGGAGGAGGCCTCCAGGCGAACAGAATGGGGCAGGACAATGAATGTGGGAGACTTGTCGCAAGCTCCCAGCCCCCCCAAGTGTGCGCCCGAAGGGTGTGGGGCCGCGTTGGCTCCCTCAAAGGGCCGTCTTGGAGCCGTCTAGGCCCGTCTTGAGGGCGCCGTTTGCCCTGATGGGGCCGTCTTGGTTCGTCGTGGGCCCCTCATGGGCGCGTCCGTAGGCCGTCCTGGGCCCATCGGGGTCCTCGTGGGGCTGTCTTGGAGCCGTCTGGGACCGTGAGGAGGCCGCCTTGGAGTCGTCTTGGGCCCCTCCTGTGCGCCTCCTTGGGCCGTCCTGGGCCCAGCAGGGGCCGTGTTGGCACCCTCTTGGGGCTGTCTTGGAGCCGTCTTGAGCCGTCGCAGCGCGCCTTGGGTTGTGCTGGGTCCGTCTTGGCCCGTCTTGGGGCCTTCCTGGGCGGTTCCTCGGACCCTCCTGGGACTTTCTGGGGCCTCTTGGTGCATCGGACCGCCGAAACGGCGGGAAACGCAAAGGGTGTAACAGTAAACAATGGAAAATTAACGATTTTTGCCAGCTGGGACTCTCTTGCCATCTTGGCCCGTCTTGAGGCCCCGAACGGGCGCGTCCTTGGGCCGTCCTGGGCGCACCCTCCTGGGACCGTCTTGGAATCGTCTTGGGCCGTCTTGAGCGCGCCTTGGGCCGTCCTGGGCCGGTCTGGGGCCGTGTTGGCACCCTCGCGGCGAGGAAGCTCGGAGGCGGGCTCGAGGCCTCTTCGGGGCCATTTTGGAAGCTGTTGGGGCCTCTGTAGGGGCCTCGTTTGGGCTCCTTGGGAGCCTCCTGGGGCCTCTTCGGGGGATTCTTGGCGGCCCCTTGGGGCCTCTTGGGGGCCTGTTTGGGCCTCCTGGCGCCCTCTTGGGGCGGAAGGCTCGGATTTTCGGTCCGTGGTCCCCCTCTTGGCCCCCTCTTGGGCCTGTCTTCGGGCCCTCGTGGGCCGTCTTGAGCGTCTCTTGGGTCGTCTTGGGGCCCTCTTGGGCTGTCTTGAGGCGCTCTTGGAAACCTCTTGGGCCGTTCTGGGGCGCTCTTGGAGGCCTCTTGGGCCGCCTTCGAGCGTCGGAACGCGGAAAAGGCGAGAAGGCCAAAATCCTTCCAAAACCGTCGTAAAGCGGACGATTTCGATGCCCAAAACCGTCCAAAACCTCCTGAGGCGGTCCCCCCTCGTCCGCCCCCCTCGCTTCGAAGCAGCTTTTAAGCCCCGTGGCACCTCTTGGGGATCTCTTTTGGGCTCCTTGGGGCCTCTTGGGCCTCCACTGGATTCGCTGCCCTCGGTCGGCAATCGTCGATCCTACGACGACTCTCCCCAACGGAGAAACATCGAAGGCCCTCGGAGCGTCCAACATTATTCTTTTGTGCCTTCGATATGCCGGTCGCCTCTCGTCCGCTCCCCCCCTCCCTCGCTCTCCTTCGTCCGCGCCTTCCGCGCTGGATTCTCATTCATTTTGAGCTATTTTTCCTAGAATTATCTTGAGTTGTTCGGGGTTTTCTTGAGTTTCGCTGGGTTTTTCGAATTACAGCAACTTACAGAGACATCTAGAGACATCTAGAGACATTGTTGTTTTTTGCACTGGTAGAGGCAATTTGCATAGGCATAAGAATGCACAACCACGGTCATCATCATCATCATCACCACCACCACCACCATCATCATCATCATCATCATCATCATCATCATCATCATCATTATCATCATTGCATTGACCAGTGACGTAGCAACCCAGCTACTCAGGAAGTTCGCCAGCAACTCGCCTCAGCAACTCAGCTACTTAAGCAACTTAGCAACTGGGTAGTTAACTTGGCAACTTAGCAAATTAGCGACGATATCGGTGCAGTCCAACGAGTCACCAGCATATACCATCGTCACCATCATCAGCATCATGGCCACAACCGCCATCATGCGTATCATCCTCATCATCGCCATCCTCAACAACATCAGCATCGA